TTAATAATAAATATTATATAATTTAATATATTTTAAATAAAATAAATTTTTTTAAATTTTATATAGCTTGTTAGTAAGTATTTTAAATACAAAACAAAATATTGCTTAAAAAGTTTTCAAACTTACATGAACATTTTAATTTGCGTTCAAAGTTGAATTAAGGAAGGGATCCAATTCCCTGTACCACTAAAAAAGCAGGTAGGTCCTAAATGATTTGATTTTAGACAGAACGTGGTGGGGGGCGCTTGAAAGTTTGACATTCTTTATTTTTTAACTAGAGCAAAGAATATTACTTTCGGAATGGCCAACGGTTTCTACCTCTAAATATCACGGTGAAGTGATCAAGACTTTGAAGGTCAAAAGAAACATGAAATGCCAAAAATATGGAAAAGCAATGAGTACTAAAAAAGAAATTATAGGCGGGCCAAATAAGGATTAGGAAACGTGATTAAAAATCTAAATAATGTTATCCACCCCTAATTAAAAAAGGGGTAACATATTAGTTGATAAAGCATCTAATTAGCTTTTTCCCAGTTTAAGTTCACATTTTTAAATCATTGCAAATGCATATTAAAAACTATAGGAAAAGGTGGTCCCACACATCATGTGGTTGAGGGCTTGCTAGTCCATCCATTCGAGACCGATCTCCCTTATTTTCAAAAAATTTGTGTGTTTGAATTAAGCTAAATAGGAATTTATTAGAGTTAATACCTCTTAATTTTAAATTTTTAATAATTTAGGGTTAAAATCATAATTTTAATTAAGCATTTATAATTTTTTTTGGGTACATTGGAAGCTATATTAGTAAAGAGATCAACTACACTCTAAGGAACATTGTCCCCATTATGTTGCCTTGAAGAATTTGATTGAGATCAGCTGAAGGGTCCATGAAGTAAGTTGTGCCCGCCAGTAATCCATGCCCCTAAAGAAGCCATAAAATGAGCAGCAAAATTGCCTTCCCTTAGTGTGTGACAAACAGAGCAGACATTGAAGGAACTTAACAAGTCAAAAATATCAACAAATAAGACTGAAACAAGATCTTTCACCCCTTTTCTATCTTGTATCATTTGGACAGTAAATAAAGAATCCATCTCTAAAATTAAGTGATCAATACCTGGCTAGCAAGCTAGTTTTAAACTTTCTCTACACCCCCACAATTTTGCCATAAAGCTTGAAGTAGTGCCTATATGGGTTGCAAACCCTTGAACCTAATTGCCCATTGAGTCTTGAACTAATCCCCCTACACAAGCATGACCAGAAGCATGATCCATGGCACCAACAGTATTTAACTTGAAGAACGGAGGGTCGGGTGGATACCACCTCACCCACCTTGAAGCTCATTGAGGTCATAAAATATTTGAAGTAAGAGCCATTTGTGTGTCAATGGCCAAAGCGCAAGCTTCATGATAAATAGGAGTAGGTGGGAGTCTACGATCATTGAAAATCAATTTGTTTCTGCTTTTCCACAAGAACCAAATCATGGATAAGAAAAGAGGAGACCAGTGGTTGTGTGGGACTTCAGCACGTTGTAAACTAATAGCATTGTTCCTCAACCGTGTGTCAAAATCCAAAGAGAAGAAATTTTGTGGTAATGATCCAGAGAGCTACCAAGTTAAGCGAGAATAATAACAATCTTGTGGTAGGTGCAAAGGAGTTTCAAGAGCTTGTTCACACCTCGGACAAATAGGAGAAGAAGCTGTATGGCAATCAAAGCAAACTGAATTTGTGGGAACTCGACCCCTTACAAGAAGCCAGACAAACATTTTAATATGCTCACAACATGTTAGTCACCATATCCAAAGCCACTCACTAACATGTAAGGAGGTAGGAACTTGACTTTGTTGCAACAAATGGTAAGTAGACTTTACTGAGAATTCACCACTCAAGGAACTCTCCTAGTAAATTTTATCTTCCAATGATTTATCTACAAACAAAAGGATAACCATGATGGAGTTAATAATGGACTCAAGGAATAATTGCTCCAGTCGGGTAGCATCCCATTTTCTCATGGGGTTGATGATACTAGCCACCATATCAATTAATTGTGTGGGTGTCAGGTTGTCTTGTGCATAGTCTAATAAGTTTGAGGATCCAATCCAAACATCATTCCAATGGCTAATGGAAGAATCTAAGCCAACCCTTCACCGTATACCAAGCTTTAAAGCCTCTTTGCATATATAATAGCTAATTAAGTATTATAAATTATAATTATAATAATTTATTAATATTACATTTTAAGAGAAAATTTTTTTTAATACATCTAATTATAAGTTAAGAATATTTTTTCAGCAATTCTAAAAAATTGACAACTACATTTTTGTTATATTTAAAAAACATATTAGTTTACCAATGATATGTTGATTAAAATGAAAAAAGCTCAATTTTTTTTAAATAAGGCTCTGAATTTGAATCTTATAAATGGAGAAACAGAATTTGAATATTATAAATGGAGAAACAGACGTTAGAAAAGTTTTTTCTTTATAGGGTCCAACTTATAGATCCGATACAATTCAATTTTGGATTAATCAAGATTTAATGTGATTGTCGGATATTGAAAAGTTAGTTTTTTTTTTTTTTTGAACAGCAAAGTATACTTTAATTACTACCTGAGTACAAGGGGTACTCAAACTCGTTTACAAAAGCTGAATAGAAGCCTTCCAATGTTAATCCCATCTTTCAGACCCTCCCTTCTACATCTACTTTTTCCTCCCACAGTTAATAGAAAGACATAAAGCAGGGTTGTTTAACCAATTTGAAATATTAAAGTAACATTTGGCTTTTCTAGCCTTAATCCATGCAAAAGAGCGCAATTGAATAAGTTCAAACAGTTTGGTTCAGTTTACCTTCAAATTCTGGAACATCTTCCCATTTCGGGCCATCCATACTGACCAAATAAATGAGTTCCATGTGCAATCCCATCCTTCTGCAATCCGTGAGCTTGTGGTCCATGCTCCAAAATTTTGAAAGGTTTTCCAACAATCCTTATGTAATGTGACAGTGATTCCCCACCAATTTGCACATGCCTGCCACAACCTTCTAGCTATACTGCAGTTCAAGAACAGATGGTTAGAGTCTTCATCCTCATTCTCACACAAAACACACTTTCTATCTCCTGTATCTTTAACAATTCCTCTTTTGAGCAAGTTTATCTTTTTTGGAATTCTGTCCAGTATTACTTTCCAGTTGAAAGCTGCAACTTTGCTTGGGAGAATCTTGCTCCATATTCTTTTGAATAATTTAGCTTCCTCCGGTTCTCTTCTTTGTTTTACTAACATCAAGTAAGCTGTTTTTGTTGAGTAATGACCTTCGATGCTATGAATCCATTCCCATTTGTCCGGTTGGCCAGGTGTGATCGTCACATTCTCAATCGTCCTTTTAAGTTGCTTTGCGTCCTCCTCTTCCCACTCGAACAAAGTTCTTCTCCATTCAAGGATCCATTTCCATGTGCCGTTGACGTTTTGGCCCATTTGATGGCACTTGTTTTCCTTCCCTGTTGATAAGAGATATAATCTAGGAAATTTGTTAGCCAAGCAAACCTCCCCACACCACTCATCCCACCAGAAACTCCCATCTTTCCCCTCTCCTATCTTCATCCTAAATCCTGATGACAACCACCCCCCATTTGCCCCATCCCCCACATTGAGGTTTCGTACGTCTCTCCACCATAGCGATCCTACATTTCTGCCATCTTGCACCCAATCCAGCCAATGCCCCCCATTTTGACCATATTTCCCTTCCATGGCACTCTTCCACAATCCCTTTATATTGAAAAGTTAGTTAAAAAAAAAAAAAACATATTAGTTTGAGGTTTAGATTGGGAAAAAAAACCTCTAGGGCCTAAACGAGGTTATCCCTTTTTAAAAAATTATTAGTAACTGTTATCCCTTTTTTACTAGGTAAAAAGAAAAATAACACACAATAATAAAACACAAAAACCAGAAAGTTTGGAGTCAATTTCATTGGAAAGAGGAGAGAGTGCGAACCTATTCGCGGAAACAAACGGCCTCTCGAGCTAGGATTATCTAAAACCAGGACTGGATAACCATAACCCATCTTCGTAGCCTTATAAATAGATGGGAGCCAGACGACAACAAAGCTGGAATCGAACTTCCAACTAAAATAACGGTAAAATCTCTCGCTCTCTCCCTCCGCCGCATTCACCGCCATTCCTCGAAGGCACACACTCACTTCAGCATTTTTTCATCCATGCCCATTAGTGATATATAGTCTCTGTAGCATAGAAACACATGCACAATGGTTTCGCTTGGGATTAGTATTTAGATTTGTGCATATAACCTGTTTGTTGAAATGCCTGACTGGGTGAATCAACTGAATTTACACCATCAGTAACTTTTTTTATTTTGTAGGCCATGGAGGTGGTTCATTGCCTTTTAGATGGCAATGCTGATGCAGTAGAGTTTTGCCCGCATGAAGGGTACCACAATGTGCTTGCGGCTTCAACATATACACTGCAAGAAGGTGATCAACCGAGCAGAGCTGGCAGCATTTCACTGTTTGATGTCAATAGTGAAAAGAGAAGCCTTGAATTGTTTCATAGGGTGGATACTGCAGGGATTTTTGATATTAAGTGGAGCCCAGAAACTGGTGGTGTCTGCCCTCTACTTGCTCAGGCGGATGCTGATGGGTACTTGAAAATCTACAGTCTACAGTGTTGCTTGGACGTAGAGAAACCTAGAGGTGAGTAGAAGGTAATATGAATTTTTTGCGTTTTCTTTTCTGGTTTTCTAATGCCCTAAACCTTTTATATGGCATGTCAGAGTCCATCCCCAAGTGCTTTAGCCATAGTTGGCCACTTTTACTTGTCTCTTTAGGAGAAATGATGCTGCATGTTTTTAGCTCCTTTATATTCATTTCCCTGGATGCAGGTGGCCTTCTGAAGGTTGTTACTGGGGAGAAGGTCAGCACATCCATGTGCCTTTTCCTAGACTGGAACCCATCAGCAACATCCATCACAGTTGGGCTTTCAGATGGTTCTATCTCAATAAGTTGCCTCACAGAGTCCCAAATAGAAGTTTTACATGAATGGAAGGCACACGATTTTGAGCTCTGGACAACTTGCTTTGACATTCACCAACCTCAGTTGCTCTACACAGGTTCAGATGACTGCAAATTCAGTTGTTGGGATATGCGGAATGGTACTTCCAATTTGGTCTTCCAGAATTCTAAAGCCCACAAGATGGGAGTTTGTTGCATTGCTAAGAGCCCCATTGACCCTAATATGTTACTTACTGGAAGCTACGATGAATACTTGAGGGTATGGGATGTAAGATCAATCTCAAAACCAGTAAATGAAACATGTCTAGGCGGAGGAGTCTGGAGAATAAAACACCATCCTTTTGTGTCAGGCTTGGTCTTAGCAGCCTGTATGCACAATGGATTTGGAATTGTCAGGATTGAAGGAGGGGAAGCTAAAGTTAGTGAAACTTACAATAAGCATGGTTCTCTTGCATATGGAGCAGATTGGCAGAGGGAGAAATTATCTGCTGAAGGTAAAACAAAGAATACTACAGTGGCTACTTGCTCGTTTTATGACCGTCTTCTTCACATTTGGTTGCCGGAAAGTGATGTTTTCTTTTAGGCACATTCACCAAGTTGAGTTCAAAGGATCCCATGGTGCCGATTGGGGCATGCTTTTTCTCACTTTTTCAAGTAGTTTGGCTTGTGTTAGCCAATTATACAAGAAACTTTTGCCTAAAGTAAAGCTAAGACAGGTATCCCTAAAACGAGGGCTTTTATAAAAACTTTTGGAGTGAAAAGAAGCTAGAGTTACATTTATTAAGTAGTATTTTCTTTTCGCTAGTGGAAGATGCACATGAAGCCGACACAACTCTTTGTATGTTATTATATTATTGTGAAATCTTCCAAATTCCAAAGTATTTCATATTTAAATTCTATGCATAATAACAGAACTTGAGTTATCACGGAAAGAAGCAGCAAGTTTCTCGGCAACTTTCCTCTCCACTTGGGAGGCAGAAGAGAAGAAAATGCAAATGTCATGGACCTCTAATGGGCTAAGGATATTGAGTTTCCTCCTTTCTGGGTTGAGTTTTAACTTGGGCATTAGAGCCTTTAAAACCTCCTTGGGCCTTCTTTTGTCTGTGGGCAGATCTGAATGTTGACTGAACTCAGCCTGCTGTCCACTCTTTGTGGCAGTGGCTTCCGCTTTTAGATTGCTCCAATGTAGCATTTTAACCCTTAAAAGAAGAAGGAAAAATTCTATGACTTCACTGTTATGCCCATTAATGGTTTCTTAATCCTTTCAGCGTTTTAAGTCAGGAGGAATCTTGAGTCAGTTTGCGCAGGACGGATATAATAAAATCCCATCTCAACAGTTTGGTCCAAGACAGAACATCCTTGACTTGAAATTTTGTAAGGAATCCAATAGTTTCTCATTAAATCTGTTGTCTCCAGCTTGCTTTTCTTGTACCCTTCATGTCAGTCCATTTTTTAAAGTGAAATTTATGAGATTGTGGTTTGCAAGCCAGACTATACTAAATTGCAAATCATCAATCATTAGATGGAGGCCCTCTCCCATATCATGTGGTTCTTCTTAATTCAATAGGTAGTGTTTTATAGTCCTGTGCAATTCAAAATATAAAATACTTTTTCATAAATTTATTCCTCTATTTTTTCTTATTATTCGTACATAAACACATATACTTTTTCTATATTTGTGAAGGGACTGAAACTGAGTAAGATAAGGAGGGAGGAGGGTGAGAAATGCATGTCAGTCTGATGGTGGTAGGGATAAAATTTTTGAGGTTGCGCGGAGGGAGGAGGGTGAGAAAATACATGTCAGTCTGATGGTGGTGGGGATAAAATTTTTGAGGTTGCGCTTCAAAAACAGTCTATCCCTTAATCGACCTCTGTTGCAATTGTCAATTTGAATGATGTAGACCACCCCCCAATCATATTTTGCAGCTTGCTGTGTTTTCCTCTTTTGAGCGTGGGGCCTAAACCGCCAGAAGACAACTACATTTCCTTGTTCATTTAAATTCCCTTTTGCCTCTATATTCATCTTTGAAAATATATGCTACCCTGAATTAATTGGTATGGATGATAAAAAGAAATTCAGAATTTCAATTTTAAAATCTTGAACCTTTTTCTTCCTCCATCTTTTTCTTTTTACTTATTTTGCCACTGAGAAAAAAAAAAAATTTTCATGGGAGCATAACAAATTCGATTACCTTTTGAAAAAAAAAAAAAAAAAAAACCTTTTTTAACATTTTTTTTTGGATATCTTTGATTCTAGTATATTAAGTAAAAAAATATCACATTCATCAATTAAAGGAAAACATGCCAATATATCTCTTCATCTATTGCGTTTAGGTTGGATTTTTTTCAATTATAGTGGACTGAATGATCAATGAAATATATGGTCTATGATTAAGAAACAAATAAATACCACATGAATGTGGTAGAGACATTTTGTAGGAGGCTTACTATTGGCTGTATAAACGTGATAGGTAGTTAATATCAAACCTGCTCAGAATCTACACACTGTGCCCTACAAAAATTAATAATTAATGTTATAAAAATAAAAATATATATATTGGACATCTCTGGAAGAAGAACATGGTCTATGTCTCTTAAGAAGCTGCTAAGGCATGTGAAAGGCGTTTTCTTCTATGAATATATCAATAAGTGCAGAGGGTGCCATTTCATTTCATGTATGCATTAGCTTAGTAATTTGCTAGTCTTGGTGCACCGGGGGAAAGCACTAGGAAAGTGCACCAGGACTGCAAGTCAACAAATTTCAAACTACACTCTGCATACTACAAATAGACTGGTGCAATTTTGTTAAAAATGGCTACTAAATTCCACAAAGATGGCTAACTCCCAACTGCATTTTCACTTTTCATTTATTGCCTTATGTTAGATTTTGTCTATAAATTGCTATGTTCCTGTTTACACCCATTTTTGCAAAATAGTATAATGATGCCACGTGTCATCCATGTTGACAGATATTTCATTAGTTGAAAGTTGTTGGAGTAAATCTTTGGATAAGGTTGAGTGGTTATTTCCACAACTGCAGCAAGGTTGTTGGTTTGTTGTGAACTTCCAGGAGAATAATTGGCAGAATCAATAGAATAATCAGTTTGTTTCAGATTTCATGCTGCCGTTGATTGTCAAGTTGCTGCCACGGATTTCCAAGCATGCTGCCAAGGGTGTTTACTTCTATAAAGATGCAAAGAAGAAATGAAGCGAGGAAGACCAGCTTCTCACACAACTAGCCCAGCGCTATCTACATTTTAGTTTTACAAGCAATGTCTTAGTTTAAATCCAGTTTTCTTAAACAGCTTTCCTAATTTAGTCTTTAGCTTTACGCTACCATTACTTTTAACTCTAGTTTTTGTTATTTCATTGTGAACATCTCCACTCAATATATTTAGTTTCCTACAATTCAATTTACTACACTTTGCCCCAAATTCACCTTTCTAGTTTCTTTTAAGTTTAGTTTTATGCTTTAGCTTCTATTTCGTTTTCAACGTTTTCAACGTTTTCATACTTTCGCGGCGGCATCACGCTTTCTCTTTGCAATTTAGTTTTCTCGCCATGCACTCTCTTTCTTCTCCTTTCCTTTATTTTCCTCTTTTATTTTAATTAACAAACTAACATTTTGGCCATAGTTGTGGGAAGTCCCTGATGTTCTTCCAGGGCAATTATTTATGGACCTTTGTACAAGAATGCACCCCTGTTTCTGCGACAATCGTTTGACCAGGGCGCATCTCATAATTTATTTAATCGGTGCTCTTCCATCGACTTGCAGCCGAGTTCCACGCTTGGAAGTAGTGAGGGTCACCGAGAATCCCTCTTTCTCACTTTGAGCAAAGTGAGTGGCACGCCTTCACAGTCTTATCTGCCACGCGGCCAGAAAGGGAGATTTTGGAGACAACAGTTCCCTTCGTTGCATGCATAAGTTTTAATCAAATTTCAGTTTATATTTCTCCTCTTTTGAGTGAGTTTTTTGGGAATGAATTCTCTCAATTTATCTCTGTATCTTAGGTCTTGCCAACCTAAGTGGTGAACTTGGCAATCGAATTCATCGTAGTGTGATTTTAAATCTCACCAA